GACGCAAATATGTATATTCATATATGTCTATCTATCTATAAATATATGTAAAATCATATTATACATAATTCTGTTTTTCAGTTCATTCTGTGGATGTGGTTAGCCTTTTCCTTCATAGGTCTTTTCTAGTTGATTTGAGTATGATACTCAAAATTATTTAAGTCATTCAAAGTTGTTCTTAGAACAATACTGGTGTTAACTGTACCTTGTTCTTTTGGTTCTGCTCATTTCACTCTTTCATTATTTCCTTCAGGTCTTTTCCATGTTTTTCTAAAATCAACCATAATTTTCCATTTTAAAAGGTGTAGTTAAGATATTAGATAAAACCCAAAATATGTCTGTATTTTTGTAGATATATAGATATAGCTGTCTCTATAAAGATATTTTGAAGATTGATAAATTTTTATAATCCTATTATCATTTACAATAAAAAGTAACTATTAATCATTAAAGCATAACTTTTATTGTAAAAAATCTAATATCTTAACTATACCTCTTAAAATGGAAAATTATTTAGTTCTTCAATTTAAATAGTCACAGCAACAGTTTTTCTATTTCTGGCATTTTTCAAGCTATCAGCAATATAATTTAAAAGAAATGACTGTTCTGCTCAGCCATACTCAATTTTTATCTTTTATTTCTTTGGCACCATTCCTATTTTTACAGTAAGATAAGTTACGGTTTGCTTTAGTGAGAATGGTTAGTGGTTACTTTTTATTGTAAATGATAATGACGTTATAAATAATTGTGTTTTTTATTAAACAAAACCTGCTTTAAAGCTACCTCAGTTCTAATAAACTGATAATTTTTATACCAAAATCATAAAAATTGATATGTATCTAAATACTGCATAAAGTGATATAGAGGCTAGTTGAATAGCTCTTCAGATGTTCAAGCAGCATAGTTGGTTTCTACCCAGAAGACTTTTAAGATTTGACGTTATCCATTTGAAGGCTTACACTTCTATACTCTCTGTCATGTATTTGTTGCTATTGCTTCAGTTGTAAACCATAGGCCTTAGAGTGTGAATAGTGTGCTGTGTAATATAATTTATTTGAAAAATTTGGCAAATACTGGTAGATTTCTTAAGTGAAGTCATTTTTGTAGGTACTCGAGCAGTTTTATTTTGAAAATGTAAAGCTGCTAAGAATCTTTTTTAAAATAAGTCACTTATAAAAATATATTTAACAAAAAAAGCTTTACAGTATGTAATATGTGATATCAAATAAAAAGTAAAATGTCAAATCTTATAGCTTAATTGGGCTTGTATATTTTCTCATCCTGAATATAAAATTCAGCAAATACATTCTTGCTACTTGTGTGAAGTTGCTACTTAACCATAAAATAAAATGCTTTTATTGAGTTTGCCCTGAAGATAAGATCCACTGTGGCAATGCTCTCCATATATGGTGGCTATGCATGGAGAGCCAGGTGGTGCTGCAAAGCATTGAACAGTGAAGCGTGCACTTATCTAGGTTTGACATTTGTCATCCCATACTGCTAAAGGGAAAGGAAAAATCTGCTTTTCCATATGTTTATGCTTTTTTTTTTGTCCTCAGTTTTGTCCAGATGGTCTGGTGAACATTGTTTACTTTAAGATGTTATCCCAGATGTTTTTGAACACTCATATGTACACAACTATAGTATACTAATCCACAAATTACTTGCATATTTTAATTATAAATATTTTTTTTCATGGATGACATGGAAAGTTGACAGAACTTTCTTCTTGAAAAGTTCCTAAAATGAATAATAGCATACCCCCACTATCACTCAGCTACTTCATTGCTGTCAATTTAAAATTATGTATTTGGTGATATTTAAATTGTTAGGTTGTGGTAGTACAGTATAAAAATATCAGCTAAGGGACATAACTGCAAATAACTTTGTGTTTAGAAAAAGTTTGTATTTATTATCAACATGCAGATTTATTTGTATTTGATCTTTACTTGGAAAATATCCTATTTGTGTTTTTAATTATTTTCACGTGTCAATAGAGAAAGTTTTTTAAGTGTCAAAACATACAGACAACTTCTTAATCAGTACATTTTGTTTCAGTTTGTATATTAGGAAATACATATTCTGCAACAGTTCGTTCAGTGAGATATTAAAAATGTGAGAGATAGGAAGGTATACTTTGCTAGCAGATAAAACTAAGCATAATGTCATAAAAATTAAACCATGAAACACTTAATTGGACAGACAACAAATGCTAGCCACCTACCAAAGCAGAAAAAGCTTTGGGTTTTTTTTTTTTCTGTGTAAAGGCTGTGGGAGAAAAAAATCTAACTTTGTATAAGATGAACGGGTTGTACTAGGTGACTACTGGTGTCTTCCAACACTTTGAGACCTCAAATTATTTTTATAAAGCAGTAATATCATTATTTGGTACTATTTTAAAGCAGAAAAAGAGATCAGTGGAACAGATTAGACAAGAAAGGTTCTATATGCCAAGCACTGTGCTCAGTTCTGTGGATACTGAAAGAGAAAAATGACAGTCCCTGCTGTCCAGGTGCTTACAGTCTAACTGGGGAGACAACAAAGCAATATATAAAAACAAATTGTATATAGGATAAATAGGAAATAATTAAGAGAGGGCAGTCATTAGAATTCTGAGGGAAGAATTAAGGAAAGGCTTCTTTGGGGGGGGCAGGTTAGGCAATTGGGGTTAAGTGACTTGCCCAGGGTCACACAGCTAGTAAGTGTCAAGTGTTTGGTCTGAGGCCAGATTTGAACTCAGGTCCTCCTGACTTCAGGGCCGGTGCTCTATCCACTGCGCCACCTAGCTGCCCCAAAAGGTTTCTGTAGAAGATGGGATTTTAATTGAAACTTAAAGAAATCTGGGAAGCCAGTAGGCGGAGATGAGGAAGGAGAACATTCCAGGCCTGGCTGATGGCCAGACAAAATGCCTGAAGCAGAGAGACATGGAGTGTTTTATTCAGGAAACAGCAAGGCAGCCAGTGCTGCTGGATCAAAGGATACATGACAAGGAGTAAAGCATTAAGAAGACTGGATAGATAGGAAGGGGCTAGATTATGAAGGGCTTTGTTTAGCTTGAATGCTAAACAGGATTTTGTCATTGATCATGGAGGTGATAGGGAACCAATGGAATTTCTTGAGTAGGGGGTGATGTGGTAGGATGTGCATTTTAGTAAAATCACTTTAGTATCTAAATGGGGGGTGGATTAGAGTGGGGAGAGACTTGAGGCAGACAGATCCAACCAGCTGGATATTGGCAGTAGTCCAGGCATGAGGTGATGAGGAGAGTCTGTATCACAGTGGTGGAAGTGTCAGAGGAGAAAAGGGGGTATGTTCAAGAGATCTTGCAAAGGTAAAATCAACAGACTTTGGACACAGATTGGATATAGAGGGTGAGAGATAGTGAGGAGAGGAGAATGACTTCTGGGTTGCTAACCTGTGGGACTGGAAGGATGGTGTTGCCCTTGACAGTAATAGAGAAGATAGGAGAGAGGAAAGGGTTTAGGGAAAAAGATAATGAGTTCCATTTTGGACATGTTAATTTTAAGATGTCTATTGGACATCAAGTTCGTGATGTCTAAAGGCAGTTGGAAATGTGAATTGGTCAGCAGAAAAATTGGGGCAAGATAAGTAGATTTGAGGCTTATCAGAGTCCAGATGGTAATTAAACCTGTGGGAGCTAATGAGATCATCAAGTGAAGTAGTGTTGAGGGAGATGAGAAGAGGGCCCACAACAGAACCCTATGGGACACCTGTGTTTAGTGGTCTGGAGGATCTGGAGGGAACACACAGCAAAGGAGACAGAGATAGGCGGAAGAACCAATAGAGTGGTGTCTCAAAAACCTAGAGAGAAGAGAGGATTGAGAGAGAGTGATCAATAATGTCTAAGGCTGCAGAGAGGTCAAAGAGAATAAGGATTGAGAAAAAGCCATTGGATTTGGCAACTGAGAGATCATTGGTTAAGTTTGGAGAGAGCAGTTCCATTGGAATGATGAAGTTGGAAGCCAGATGGTAAGGGTTCAGAAGAGAGTGAGAGGAGACAAAGCAGAGAGGAAATAGTAGCAGAAGGCATGTGAGTGATATGAGGTGGTTTGGAAGAAGGAGCTCACAGCAGATTGCCTCAGATTTCAAGAAACTTGTTTATAATTTTTCAGACAATTGGATTTTTTCTGTGTTCTTGATCTTGGACAATTTGGAAATTGTTTTTGGAATCACAAGTTGTTTTTCAACAAAATGGCCATTACAATAAAATTTACATTACCCTTTAGGGGAATAGCTAGACTAATTATGGTATATGGATGTTATTGAATATTATTGTGCCATAAGAAAGTACGAAATGGACCCCTTCAGAGGGAACTGGGTAGATCTCTATGAACTGATGCATAAGTGAGCAGAACTAGGAAAATAACTTAAATGTTGACAACATAGAAAAAAGCAACTTTGAAAGACTTTAGATCTTTGATCCTTGCATGGATCCACCAGAGTCCAGAGGAATGAAGTTGAAACACATTTGCATTTATGCAGAATAACATGCATTTTTAGATATGGCCAATGTGGGAATTTGTTTTGTTGGACTGTGTATATTAAGGGAAGGTGTTCTTTTTCCTTTTTAAAAATTTTAAGGGGGGGGAACAGTGAGGGAAGAGATAGTAAATATTTATAAAAATACAGTTTTAAAAATAATAAGTTTAATTCTAGGTATTGCAGAAGTATAGATAGGAAAAAAGTATACCAGTCAACCAGTGAATCAGAAAGCATTAAGTTAATCAAGTTAACAAACGTTTAAGTGCCTGCTATGTGCCAGGCCCTGTGCTAAAGTACCACACAATTTTACCGTTGTTTATGTACAGTCTTATGTAGTTTGTTTCCTTCATGTGAGTTTATTTTTTTCATAGATTTATCACCATGCCCAAAAAAGACTTTATTTAGCTTCCTTTTCATGAGCTCCATATTCAAGTAATAATTTTCTAATTTGATTACATACATCTTAAATAATTTGTGGGGTTTATTTATACTTGTAGGTTCATTTTCCAAAGTAATAAGGCTTTGTGAAGAAAAGTGTGAAACAGGTGAAATATGGAAAGGAAAATGCCAAATCAGCAGTTTACCAGCTTCTGTGAAAGGAATTAATAATTTGGGGAACACTTGTTTTTTTAATGCTGTCATGCAGGTAAGATGCAAACATTAAGAATTATAATTTTTAAATTTGATTTTAAATATTTTAGAATTATGTTAATTCTTGATTGTCTTTGGGAAATAGTCTATTCATGAAATGGGAAAGGAAAAGTAACTAAGCCTAATCAGCCACAACAGAATTAATATTTATTATAAATGTATATTAACAGGTACAAGCTTTTCACGTAAGAGTAGCCATGACTACTGCCATTTTAAAATTTTGAAACATGTCAATTCTGTTTTTAGTTCCATCTTAATAGATCCTTTCTTGAATAAATGAATTTTGTTGTTAATGTGGTAATGACATGTTACTTCAATGTTCTTTGCTCAGATATAGCTGAGAGAAAACATTTTACATGAAGGACATTGTATAAATTGCCATAGACATAAAGATGTAATAGAATCCTCTTTTGTTCAGCCAATTACCTAGGCAGTAGTTCTCAGTCAAAATTTAAAGTGAAGAAATCATATGTTATATAAGTCAGTGACATGTTTGTTAAGGGAGAAGGCTTTAATTGTGTTTTCTTTTAGAACTTGGCACAGACTCACATGCTCAGTGAACTGATGTATGAGGTTAAGGAAAGGGGGACAAAGTTAAAAATTTTTCATACTTCAGACCCTAAGTTGGTAAGTAAGCACATCTGTGTAAATTGTAATTGTGCAAGAATGAGCCATCTTCAGAATTCCATTCCTGGGATAGGAGACAATGGCTAGAAATTATTTTAAATAAAATTTAAAAAAAAAAAGCAGTTTGAGCTTAAAACACATTTTTTGTTGTTGAAAAAAAGATTTTTTTTGTAAAACAAACAAAACACAGAAAATACCCCAAACTTCTATAAAAGCATGTCTAATTTGGGATGTTAAAACTCAAACATATCATGAAATTAGAAAATAACGTGACATTCTTTTAAACAAAACATTACATAACTTACAAATGAGTGTTGTTCTTGACAGTATCATCACGTTGGAAAAGCAGTGCATCTCTTTTTAATGTAATATATACACAGTTTGGCCTTGGCCTTACATGATATCCTACCTTTAGTTTTGAAAAGAAAATTTTTTTTCTCTGTATAATTCTACTCCTCTCCCTTTTCCCTTCCTCCACAACCTAAGTATAGTGCTTGTTAATATTAGGCTAATCTTTTTCTCGGCTTTTCTGAGACCAGATAAGCGCAACATCTCAGGTTAATGTCACCTAGGGCACTATGATAAATACTTGAAAATTTACTTTTTCTTTGCAAATAAAAGTAATTTTCAAAAATCCTACAAATCTAGCTATGAATATATGTATGATTCAGCAATGGATTGCTCTTTCCATGCCCTACTGTTTATTTGAGCTGTAGAAGATTTAGAGCAAATTACTAGCTGTGTGACCTTGGACAAATCACTTAATCCTGTTTGCCTCAGTTTCCTCATCTGTAAAATGAAGTGGAGAAGGAAATGGAAAACCATTCCAGTATCTTTTCCAAGAAAACCCCAAATGGGGTCATGAAGAGTCAGACATGATTGAAACGACTGAACAACAACAAAAAACCGTTATCGCTGTTGTTTGAAATGAAGTTTATATTCCAGTATTTTACTTCTATGGAAGTATAGTCTCTCTCTTCCCCCTAAATCCCCAGCCTTGCCTTCCATTTAAATAACCCTTATTGAAAGTGGCACGCTTAAATTTTACTTTCAAATTTATGGGTTAAGGGTTTTTCCCACATGGACTCTTCAGGTTTTTATATGTATAGAGGAATGAACTATGACCTATATATTAGAATTTGTTTTTAAGACTCTTAGAAGTAGGGGCAGCTAGGTGGTACAGTGGATAGAGCACTGGCCCTGAAGTTAGGAGGACCTGAATTTAAATCCAGCCTCAGACCAAACACTTGACACTTACTAACTGTGTGACCCTGGGCAAGTCACTTAACCCCAGTTGCCTTTAAAAAAAAAAAAAAGAATCTTAGAAGTAGCTGTCAATTTATATTGTTATCACTCAGGCAGAAAGCCTTTTTGACATATAAGAACTATAAAGAAGCATAACTTGCCCTTTCTGATATTAGCCTGGCAGTAGATTTTTTGAAACTTACTGTATATTGATAGTGCTATTAATAATCGTAATTGCCTAAAGCCACGTGGTTACATTTTAAAAGTCACATTAACAAATTGCACCATTTTTTTTTCTGGCTTTCCCCCTCCTATCTACCCCACCCCTTAATACCCCAAATGATACCTGGCTTTGAAACAAGTTCAGCCTATACTAGAAGCAATTAACTGAGAAGGTCAGTTGTTTTTCATTCATGTCCAACTCTTCGTGACCCCATTTGAGGTTTTCTTTGAAAAGATGCTGGAGTGTTTTGCTGTTTCCTTCTCCATCTCATTTTACAGATGAGGAAACTGAGGCATACAGGGTTAATTGACTTGCCAAGAGTCACATAGCTAGTAGTAAATGTGTGAGGGTTAGGAAGATGAGTCTTTCTGACTCCAGGCCTGGCACTCTATTCACTCTGCCACCTCTCTGAGAAAATTTATTTATCAATAAATACAGTGTTCCAAAAGTCAGCATAGTTTTATGTGTAGTAGTTTAAATTAAACCAAACAGTGTAACTTTGTTTTTTTTTAGTATGTTCGTGGTTAGATATTTGTATTACTGATAGAAAATTAAATTTCTTATTATAGGATCCACTAGTGGTGAACCTGTCAAGTCCTGGAACTCTGACTTCTGCTATGTTCCTGTTCCTTCACAGCATGAAGGAACCTGGAAAAGGACCACTTTCTCCTAAAGTTCTCTTTAACCAGCTTTGTCAGAAGTAGGTACAATTACCTTTAAAATAAATATTTGTGTTGGTTCCAAAAAGAAATGCTGTCAAGAGAGCACTCAAGTTATTTAATTCGAGTGACTCCTTCATACAGTAATGGTGCTGTTAATACATAGTGTGTTCAATGCTTTAAAGTTATGGAATCATAGCATTTTAGAGCTCGAAGGACCATAAATATAATCTAATTCAGCTCCTTCATATTATAGATAAGGAAACTGAGACACAAAGGAATACATTAAAATAACTCCTATGACTTTAAGAATACAAATCACTTACAGTGCCCTATTTGAACTTTCCTAATAATCATTTCACTTTTTAGAATAAACATGATTAAAACATGAAATTGGATTAATTACATAAATACACAAAAAGTTTAATATTTTAGACCCAAACTTATTTATGGGTATGAGGTTGTATTTAATTTATCCCAAACCAGGTTAATTTGACACTTTTAAATGGATTTGGATTTTTTGGATTTTGTCAGTCTTATTCTTTTTGACATATCTGGCCCCTTTTGACACTGTTGATCATTCTCTTCTCCTTTATACTCTCTCTTCTCTAGATCTTTATTAGCCTGCTCTCTTCTGTCTCTTCTCTTACCTGACTGACCAGTCCTTCTCTATTTCCTATACTGGATCTTACTCCAGGTTCCATCTGCTTGTAAGTGGGTATCTTTCAATGCTCTGTCCTGAGTACTCTTCTTTTTTCCCTCTATAGGTACTTTCTTACTTGGTTACCTTATCAGTTCCCATGGGTTTAATTGTCATTTCTATGCAAATGATTCCTAGTTCTATATCCAGTCTTAACCTTCCTCCTAAGTTCCAGTCTTATATCACCACTGGTCCTTTGGAAAAGAATAGCCAAATATCCAACCAAACTGGATAGCCAATAAATGTTTCAAACCTTCAAATCCTCAAACCTTCCCCTCTTCTAAATTTTCCTGTTGAGAGAAACATTACCTTTCTAATCGTAACAGTCTTAGAATCTAAGTGTCATCCTTAGCTTCTCACTCACTCACACTATTCCCAGAAGTCTCTTCTAAATTCACAACCTTTCATATACATCCCCTTCTTTCCACTCATGTAGAAGCCATGCTGGTGCAGGGCCTTAAACATAAGAAAAAATAGAGGAATTTCATTACAAATAATTACAAAAATGCATAAAATATCTAGTGATCAACCTACCAAAGCACATAAAAGACTCATAGATTCAATTACAGAGTGCTTCTTAAATAAAGAACAACTTAAAATAGCAGGAGGAATAATCAGTTCTCCTGGATAGGCCATGCTAATATGCTAAAAGTGACAGTTCTTCCAAGGTTATTTTAATGCTATACCAATCAGATTACCAAGGAAATACTTTATAGGATTGGATAAAATAATAGCAAAATTCATTGGGAAAAAAAAACAAAATATTTAGAATATTAAGGGAAATTTAAAAAATAATAATAATAATGATGGAGGGGAATAGCACTTCCAGGCTGCAAACTGTATTATAAATCAGCAGTTGTCAAAACCATCTGGTATTGGTTAAAAAAATAAATAGATTAATGGAACAGACTAGACAAGGGAAAAACAGAAACAGTGGAACTGAATAGCTCATGGCTTGATAACATGGAAAACAAATTACCAAAGGGAAAAACTCCTTCCTATGCCATATTCCACAATATATTCTAAATGAATATGTGACCTTAATATTAAAGATTGTACTAGAAAAACATTAGAAGAGAAACAGGACATATACCTCTCATAGCCATGAGTAAGAGATACATTCTTTTTTTTTTTTTCCCCAGCCAAAGACAAGATTTATTAGAACATCCGTAGTATCGGGCAGACTTTTATGGAGTCTGAGTGTTAGTGAGCTATTGGCTAGATTTTAAGAATCTCAGCATCTTAATGGAGACAAAATGGATCTTATATACAGAATAATATAGCCATGTGGCCAAAGAAGTATGGAGCCTAGATAGGATTAAGGGTAAGAAGTGGCCTGGGGCCATAGGGAGGTAAAACAATGGAGGGCTAAGTTAGGTTAAGGGTAACAGAGAATTGGGAGATTGGATGTAGCCATAATGAAAGGCCAGTTGATGGAATTATAGCCTCAGGCAAACACCAGAGATTTGGCCATGTGGAACAATCCAGGGTTTTTCCTCTAGATCCCATCCTCATCATTCCCCCCTCAAACAAATGGGACTCAAATTCTTTTGGTGTAAGGGGTGAAGCTCTCAGCTTCTGAAACTGTTTCCTGCTGGCAAGGGACGTAGAGCTATCCCAAAGAAGAGGCTGACTGGAACCGAGCACAGACTGCATCCAGGGAACGATGGGGGGACATTGGCTGGTACTCGCTGTTTGCTCCCAACTGTAGATGAATGGCCTGTAGTCTGGAAGACACAAATCTATCAGAAAAGACTGCAGGGACTAGATTTAGGGCCCAACTTTGAGAGAATAAAACATCCTTAACTCTGTTTGGATTCAGATAATTCAGTTTTCCAACCGTGCAGTATCAAATCCACCTCATAGCCAGAGTCAGGAATAGCCAGGTGGGTAACATTCCCTTTCAAAGGAATATAATGGGGAAACTGAGCCAGGAGGATCCTGTCTTAGACTTGTTATAAATAAAACCCCCAGACTCAGTTCTGAAGTCTGCTGTCTCAAAGACTTTTTATTAAAGAGGTTGAAGTGTGTCGTTTCCATTCTCACAAGAAGCAGGCACACCTCCTTTGAAGGGGAGAATACGCTGAGTACAGAAGCAAGAGCAAGCTTTATAGTTAGTAATTGCCTAACTCCTCCCTTCTGGATCAGGATTGGTCCTAATGCTTCTGGGTTACAATCTTCCTTATAAGCCCTGTTCATGTATTTTATATACATGTGCTCTCCACCCCTTAACGTACATTTTGTGCTTAGAATTGTGTTGTTACCCCCTCACCCACCATGGAGAAGTTAGCCTGTCTGTGCTGATTTCTTATCTACTTATGTGAAAACTTAACTTTTTTATTTCTCACAGACTGAGGCTAAAATTGTCCTCTCAGCTTTTCCCGATGCTGACTTGCCACCAGTATCACATTCTCTGAGTAGCTTTTGGCATTTCTCTCAGATGGTAGATTATTGATTATCGATAGATTATGACCCATCAGACAACTCAAAATAAAATCCTATGAACTTTTACCTCAAACAGCAAGTTTCACTAATCACAATTTAGGAAAAACTTTTCCAGGATTTACATCTCAAATTTAAATTTGTCCTGATATAAAAAACCAATCGTTACAGATTATTCCTATATAATTGCAAATTCTTAGCAAGACAAAACCCAAACAAGCTTTTTGGCAAGTTTACCCATTAAAACAATAACCAACAATAGCCAGATTATTTTGGCAGTAACCAAATTATGAAAAGTTGCTTGACATAACTGATACAAAAAGTTCACCTATTTGAAACTTGAAACAAATCCATTACCAATCTGGTGACTTCAGTTTTGCTAAATTCATTTCCAAATTACTTTACACAGAGAATCAATATCTCATCATTAACAATTAAAACTGCAAATTTAAAAGAGTGCTTACCCAAGTTCAGAGGCTAGCTTCTTTACCTTGAGCAGGATGTGCTGAACCTGGGTGATGATTCCAGGCAAAGGTTGCCCTAGGGCCCAAGGCCATTGCCAGGGGTTCACGCTGTAGCTGCTGCCCCTCCCCCCCTTCCCAGGTGGGGGAGGGCAAAATCAAAGGTGAGGGGTAAAGGGTGAAATTCTTTACTCCTATGAGAGGGGTTAACGGATACCCTCTTGACTCAGGGGAAGGGAGTAGGAGAAAGGAGTGACCAGGGTTGTAAGGAGGAGTTCAAAACTCCTTAATAATCAATCACAAAACCTCCAGAATTTGCCAAGATATTTTTAGCTGTTCTGACTTTTCCCTGTCACCTCCATGAAGGAGGATTCAGTGGTATAGAGGGAAGGAAGGAAGGAACTAAGCCTCAGGGAACCAGAAAGCAACTGCAGTTTTCCCCAATTCTCTAGCACTGAGAGAATTGACAGAATTGGTTCCAGATAGGGCATCTGTCCTTGTCTTCTATGCTGCAGAAAGTGTACCCCGGTCCATGGCCTTGAACCGACCCAGTGGACCAAGAGCTTGAGAGTATCAGGCCGAGTGCAAGACAGCCTTGTAACTGTCTCCAAGCGTTGGTGCCTGGAGAATGACCCCAACTGCAAAACAAGAAAGGAGGTGGGGCAGGATAAGCTTATGTACCTTCCAGTCTTGGCTAGAGAAGAACTTGGGATTAGGCAGTTTCTCCGTACGCACCATCAAAATGTTGAGGTTTAGGGGTGCTGGGACCCCAAAATCACGACATGCGCGTCCTGCCCGAAAGAATTTGACCCAAGCTTGCTTTCCAGCCAAAAACAAGGTTTATTAAAGATCCACCATATTAGCCAGACTCTTAAGGAATCTGAGCATCTGTGGGCTATTGGCTAGATTATAAGAATCAGAGCCAGGAGATATATTCTTAACCAAACAAGAGATAGAGGCAATTAAAAAAAGATAAATAACTTGATTTCATGTTACTAAAAAGCCTCTACATAGACAAAATTAATGCACCTAGGAGAAGGGAAGTGGTTGAGTGGAAAAAAAAATTTTGGTATCAAATTTCTCTGATAAGAATTTAGTATACATGTATATATGACTTAAAATAGCCATCCCCAAAGGATATGGACAAACTTCTCGAAAGATGAATTGCAAAATATTCACAGTCACAAGAAAGAATGCTCCAAGGCACTCATAACAACAGAAATGCAAAACAAAACAACCCTGAGGTTTTACCTCATACTCTGCAAATTGGCAAAAATGATTTAAAAAAAATGGCAAGAGTTAATGTTGGATGGGTTGTGGAATAACAAGAATGTTGTTGGTGGAGCTCTGAGACACTTCAACCATTTTGGAAAACAGTTTGGAATTAAAATGTCCATACTCTGAATCTGAGTCTCGGTTACTGGGCTTATACCCCTAG